AAAATTCCATGCGGAAAATATTTTCTTTTTACTTGATTTAATTTCTAAGAAAGAAATATAAATATAGAAAGAAATATAAATATAAAAAAAAGAAAGAAAGAAATATAAATATTGAAAGAAATTAAAATATAGAGGAAATGTATGAGGAACTTTCATGTAACAGAACAGCTTTTGTGGCTTCTTTTTATCTTTCAGATTATCCATCAACCTTTAGTTCCCGTTAATTTACTTTGTCATTTTGTGAGATCCATGACTCTTTATAAAGTGACTTTATCGCTTCTAATTATATGTTTTAGGTAGAGGAGGCGATTACGGTAGTTATTCTCGCCGTAGTGGAGGGTACGGTGGTGGTGGTGGTGGTAGCGGCGGTGGCAGACGACGCTCGCGAAGTCCTCGATCAAGACATCGATACTAATTGGATGACAATAACATTATGAAACTTTCTGTTTAGTAACTGTATTATTAAAAATGTTTTTTTTTTTTGAATTATGTCGGTCTCTGGTAAACACAATGTATGGTCTCATATTTATGTGACCAGTCGTTTTCCTTTTCTTACTTTTTAATACATTATCATGCTTTTTAAGAGCGGCTTGTAGAATGGATGTTGACTGAATGATTTGAATAAAATTTATGAGCTTCTACAGTGTATTGAGAAAAGGTACGGTTTATAATTTTTTGTAGAATGGATGCTGAGTGAATGATTTGAATAAAATGTATGAACTTCTATAATGTGTTGGAGAAAAGTACGGTTTATGTTGTATCTTGCAATATTTGTCCTACCATCGGTTTAATTTTTCGTAATTTAGGATTATAAATTTAGAGCTTCTAAGTTTTTTATAATTTAAGAGGGCATTTTGATTTGCTTGTATTCTCTTACTTTTGGGGAAGTACCCTATCTTGTCCAGATCCCTAAAGTCGTCATTCAATTCCTATATGCAAAAAAAAATAATTGTATTTGTTTGAGCAAATGAATGGAATATGAAGGGCAATAATGTCCTAGTTTTTGCAATCAAGGAAGTCTGGAAGGATGAATCATATCTTTAATGGCAAGGAGAGGTTATAGGGATTATAATTTAAGTAAGCTGAATCTGGCGAAAAGGTGGGATTCGCGAAATTTCCGTCTTATTTGCGTCATTTGTTCGGAATCTTGAACTGTAGTAATATGACTTGTTTCATAAGTGGGAGAGGAATTACATTCAGCAAAACATTGATTTAATAATTAGTCAGTCGCACATTGCTACTGAGATTTAAGCATTTGTCTACGGTATTTTTCATTTTAGGCTGCCAGGTCTTTTCAGGAAAGACTTCAATTTTTCGCTTTTTCAGTTTTGGAACTTGAGAACTTGAGGGGCGCTTTTATATAGAGAGAATCTTTGTGTTCTTTATCTCTGATCTTTATGTTTCTAAATAATTAACAACACTGAATCCTAAATGGTTTCAGATCGTCGAGCAATGTTTTTTGATGGATATTCTGAAGAATCATTCAAAAGTATGCATTGGCAATTATGGCTCGTTCGAGCGTAAAATCAAACATTTTATGGACGGTAGATCAGATAACTTCATGGTTTGCTTAACGTTTTATCCATGCTATTTTCAGAATTGCAGATTGTTTAGAAATTTTCTCTAAATTCGAAGACATATGCGTGGTGTTAGTTCCAAACTTTTTATTCTAGTTGAATTACTAAGTTTTGCGTCTGTTTGACAGCCAACTAAGTCCCTAATTCGTACATCTCCTGAATAACTTGTTAGGGAAGTAGGCTAGGCCTTGAAATTGCCAGGAGATTCATCTCACTATAGTCGTTAATTCTATTACCTTACTTTGGCACATCAGTTGTGAAGCGCTAAAGTTGTAAAAATCATTCCCGAATTTGTGATTATGTATCAACAGTAAACTTATTGAGTGCAAATTTGAGCTCATTTCTAAGAGTGTTGAAGAAGTATGAGCGGTTATAATTATATATTATCAAGTGATTATTGCAGGTGGTTGCAGATTTTGATTATACTCTCACTACAAGCAGAACTGAAACTGGTGGTCGAGCTGATATTACATATGATGTGCTTGCTAAGCCAGCAACGAATAGATCACCAAGTTGCGGCCAGCTGTTCAAAACTTTGAATGAGAAATACTCTCCCATCGAAACCAATCCGACTCTGAATGTTAAAGAAAAGTCATTAGCTATGCTGGAATGGTTTGTTTATGTTATTTCACTCGACTTATTTTCCATTTTCACTTTTCATCTGTTTTTAATTTAATTAAATCCTGAACAATTTGTTATTTTTTCCTATAATTATACCTTATGTGGAAATCTTAATAGTTGAGTCGAATCGAGGCAGCAGTATGCTTCCTGCAGACTAACGCAAACATAAAAAGAAGAGCACGTTGTGGCAAGTTGATAACTGGCAATACGACCTTTTAACAACAGCCTAATCAAAAGACAAACAGAATCATTTGATAATTGTCATTGTGAAATCAGGAGTGGAATTACCGGGAAGCTATGGTGATCTTTATAGTTTTTTACTATTTTTATGTTACCTTTTCCCTCCTTGTTATTTTCTTGCAGGTGGAGTAAAGCTAACGATCTTATCATTAGCACAGGATTCAAACAGAACGAAATATTGGATCTTGTAAAACAGTCTACTATGCGGCTTAGGTTAGGGTCATAATTTATCGAAACATGTTTACACTTCTTTTGTAATGTTCACTTTGAGCAGCTCTAATTGTCCTGTTACTCATGTTTTTCTAGATCCAACGGCGCTTTATATTTCGATGAGTTAGAGCAGCTGAAGATTCCGTTGGTAATCTTCTCCGCAGGTATTTCTAATGTTATTGAAGCGTCATTGTTGTTTGAATTAGGCAGAATTCCGAGCAATGTTCAAATTGTGTCGAATACAATGTACTTCAACGAATTGGTTAGCTAGCTTAGTATTTGTCATCTTAATTAATTCAAAGAAATTTTAGGTTGACTTAATCCTCAGAAGCAACAAGATAGTAATCAAGCAATAGAGTAGAGCTACTCCTTTAAAATAACTGTTGGCAAAATGGTCCAGTGGTTGTAAAATAAATTAATTATTATCTAATTGAAGTTAGTTAGGACTACATATTTTAAACGAAAAAATACTAACCATTCATTTGTAGGGTGTTAGTTATAAATTCTCGGAACCAGTTATACATTCATTCTCAAAAAATGGAGGTTTGCTAGAAAAATGTTTGGAGGGAGTGCAAGATTTAAACCTGAAGAATCGAATTATTCTTCTGGGTGACTCTTTAGGAGGTAAATTTTCGAATTCAACCTTGTTTGTTTGCTGGATCTCTAATTTAATTTAGTAAAACAAAAAGAAAAACATGATACGAGAGTAAAATCTTTTTATATTCCACTCCTCCATGCATATACATACATATATAATACAAAAGAAGTCGAGATGGTAATAAAAAGGTTTCACTTCCTCTCTTTTTAACATGCTATTCAGAATGAAATCAGTATGAAGTACACCAATAAGTCATTAAAAAGTAGAGGGTTTACAGCTGTTTTAGCATTTATTGTTTTGTATTTGCAAATTAACGGCAATTAATATTGGCGCGATATATATATTTTGGTCCAAAAAGTTTAGATTTGTGTATGTTGGATGGCTGTTCGTTACTGAATAAAAATGAGAACGCGGTACTGAAAATCGGTTTTTTGAACAAAAATATTGATATTCTATTCGATTCGTTTGCCAAAAATTTTGATATGGTTATAATGAGAGACCAAACAGTGGACATCTTGAGACATTTGAACTATATTTTATTTGGTGTCGGTAAATCACTGCTGTGTAATTAAGTCAGTCTTTCAAAGAAAAGTTAGTAACCTAAATTAGACTGGACTCAAATAATATTGAAAGAACTGTTCAATGATTAATAATAAAGTAAAATGTCTCACGAGTTATTAGTTTTTTCCATCACAAATACTCTGCAGATTATTCAGTTCCGTTTTATGTCCAAACTACATAGAGATTACAAATGCTCCAGAAGAAATTAATGCGAATGACTGGGGAATTTGCTCATATATTTGCATAGAAAATTCATTTCACATTGTTTCAGTCGATAAAAAACGTGAAGACGTTCAAAATATAGAAACGTGTAAATGTTATTGAAAAAGCAATGATAATAATATTTGCCAGTATATATGAAATAATATCAGATGATATTAGTGCTTGCATTCCATGAGTTTAGTTTTTTCCCTGTTAACTCATAACTTTTACCAGTTTACCAGTTCCTTTCATATTATGTGAAAGATCAACATTATGGACCATTGTTGTACCTTGCGACATTTCCATATCTCAGGATAAATTATTTACGCGAAATGCAGCTACCACGCATGGTATATCTCAGTACGCGAAATATCAGCAATAGTACTACATGATTTGTTCGCTATTTAAAACTTTACTTGCCATTACGGATTAGCTCAGCGTTTCAAAAGAAATATATATATATATATATATATATATATATATATATATATATATATATATATATA